TAGTTTCTGAATAGGAGTAGATGCTGGACGATTTACTTCGTCAGAAGAAGCAGTGCTAGGCAACAATTAGGCACTTAGATATTAGGAACGAGTGGCACACCAAGAAAGTCTGTTCGAAGTTTGCACATGTTTGATTACTTGTAGGTGACTTTCAGAGGGGGGGGGGGGCTTCCACCACTGATAAATCATTGATATAGAAAAGGCATTTGACAATGTAGAAATAAACCAAGCATGACATGCTAGAAGGACATGTAGGTTAGCCAGTAACGATGCAATGGGTTTGTCAAAATCACTCGCAAAAGTTGGCAGATTTTACTATGATGAGCCAAGTAACGTTTATAAAGCCACACGCTAACAAGGTTTTGTCCGCGTTCATTACGATACTCTTACTCTTTCTATGTCATTTAGTGAGCTAATACATAGCGATCCTAGAGCAAGAATTTTCGTTAAGATGGCAATCAGCATCGTGAGAGACTCAAAATGTGACTATCCATCGGCCTGCAATGCAGCGGAGACCATTTTAATCCACAAAGATCTCATCAACACGGCGTTCTTTGATCAGCTTTGCGGCATGTTCAAGGTATAATGCTTTGAGAGAAGACAACACCACAGAGAAGTAAATTTTTAGGCTGAAGGGGTGAAGTTGCATGCTGGCCCAAAAATGCAAACGATGCTGAAGTTCGGTCCCCCTCCGGCAGAAAGCCTCAAATTTGAATATGGGGGCTTGGAGTGCACACTGGAGGTAATTTTGTTTATAGTGTTTGTTTCTAGCGAAGATCTTAAGCAAATTGTACAGCAAAATTAAGGTAGTCGATAACGTGGACGAAGCCATCGCTCACATCATCCGCTACGGTTCTGGGCACACGGAAACTATCGTAACAAGCAATGGTAAGCAAGCAAGAAATAATAGTTTCGGTTCTTCGACCTCAGCACGACTGGGTCGGGAGTAGTGACGTGGATTATCTTTTGTACTGCTTAGACTCAAGTAAGTGGTAATCCGTGCTGTCGCAGCCATAGAATTCACATATGTCGCTAGATAGGGATTAATCTCTTGAG